GAATAGAATAGAATAGAATAGAATAGAATAGAATAGAATAGAATAGAGGAATGGAGTGGAATGGAATAGTAGAGTGGAGTGGAGTGGAGTGGAGTAGAGTAGAGTAGAGTAGAGTAGAGTAGGGAATGGAATAAATATAGAATAGATTCTGGAGTGGAATGGAATGGAATAGAATAGAATAGAATAGAATAGAATAGAATAAGAGTAGAGTAGAGTAGAGTAGAATAGAATAGAATAGAATAGAATAGAATAGAATAGAATAGAATAGAATAGAATAGAATAGAATAGAATAAGAGTAGATTAGAATAGGAAATGGAATAAATATAGAATAGAATATGGAATGGAACAGAGTAAGAGTAAGAGTAGAGTAGAGCAGAACACTTTATTGGCCAGGTGTGACTGGACTCGCAAGGAATTCGTCTCACTGTGCATTCAAAAGTAATATAATCTTAAGATATCAACAAGAGAAGGTAGCAGACAAGATGAGAAGGATAATAGTCACACAGCCATACTACGTGGGTAAATACAGGGGTGGGCTCCTGGGGGTTTGCAGGGGTTCAGGAGAGCCCCCTAGCTAAGATTCTGTGCAGTTCAGAGGACCCCCAAATCCTGGCTGGCCACCCTGGCCAAGCCCACCTGCCCCCTCCAGGTCAAACATAACCCTGATGCAGCCCTCAACGAAATCGAGTTTGACGCAACCCTGCCCTGCCCCAACGAAATCCTCCGTAATATTCCCGCTGCCTCCGTTAGTCTTACCTCGTGGTCCAGAGCCGAGAGCGTCTTCTGCTGGTTTGGGGCAGGCTCCTTCTGAGGCTTCTGCGCCTTCTCCAGGCCCTGCTTTAAGCAGGCAGGCCTCATGAGGGGCAGGAGATCGCACAGCTGCTGCAGCTGTGGAGAAAAGAGGTGCTTACTGATGCAACGGCCCCAAGCGCACCCTTCCAGTTGGTGCTCCATTCAAAACCCAAGAAAGAAATACTTAAGGCTCCATTAATTAGAGGAAAGGTATCTTTTACTGGAAATCAAATGGTAGTAGGTAGCATCAAAGGAATTCTGAATCGGAGAAAATGAGCGCGTAAATCACATATACAAAGTGATGGCAACGTTCCCACCCACAATAATTCAAACTGTCCATCCAATTAAAACTTGCACATAACAGTCCTGTGGGCATCTTCAGGTGGTGATATGGAATCTGTCCATTGACCTTGACATATTTTGATAAAGGGGTGCACTTGCGCATAGCATGAAAAATAAGAGAAACTTCCTCCCCTCCCACCTTATACAATTTATTCTGCAACTTTCCAGCTCGCTTCCCGTAACTATTTCACTCCTCCTCCACCCTGTTACTTATGAAAGATGCAAAGCAAAGGAAAGAAATCTTGAAGGTTGACACTCCAGCAAAAGAAGATTCATGGAGACTAGAGCAGGGGTCTCCAACCTTGGTCACTTGAAGACCTGTAGACTTCAACTCTCAGAATTCCTCAGCCAGCAAAGCTCTCGACCAGTGGTGTCCAACCTTGACAACTTTAAGACTTGTGGACTTCAACTCCCAGAATTCCTCAGCCAGCAAAGCTCTAGACCAGTGGTGTCCAACCTTGACAACTTTAAGACTTGTGGACTTCAACTCCCAGAATTCCTCAGCCAGAAAAGCTCTAGACCAGTGGTGTCCAACTTTGACAACTTTAAGACTTGTGGACTTCAACTCCCAGAATTGACAGAAAACGTTGGACACCCCTGCTCTAGACCTCTTCAAATATCATCAAAGAAAAATATCCTCCAAATTTAGATATTTGATTATAGATATATTAACGGCGGCACGAATTGCATTGGCACAGACTTGAAAAATGTCCACCACACCACCAAATCATGTTACAGTCCACAAAATCTTAGAATGTGCGGAGATGAACAGGCTCACGCTGAAATTAAGGGGAAAAGAGGACTTAATTTTTAATTTGGAATATTTGGTATCAATGGTTAGAGAGTAAAGTACAATAAAAAAAGGTCACAAGTGGAATTTAAAAAGCAAGAAACAAGGGAAATAAGACTGGAATACAAGCAAACAAATAGAACGAAGGAGAAGTAGTAGGAACTGAGGAACTGCTAGAGGGAAATAAGACCTAGATAGATATCTAGACTAGAATTTAAAAATTATTTAGGGGTTTAGGTCTACTGTAGAAATGTACAGAAATATGTAATGAATGATAGAAATGGGACTTCTGTTTTTGGCTATAGCCGTGGAATACTAAATTACAGCATATAGACTACAAACACCCCTGATGTTCCCCTTAGATATGCATGCATATATTAAGTGTTTATCTGATATTTCCATTTTTTGTATATGAGAATTAGATCTTAAAAGATGATATAATTTGTTTATTAATATAAACTAAGAATTGAGATTCAACATAGACAATATATTTAAAAAACTGTATATACTTCCAATTTTATGCGGGAGAAAACCCGAATAACCAAAGATCGATAGATCGATCCATCGATCCATCCATCGATCCATCCATCTATCTATCTATCTATCTATCTATCTTCGTAGATTTTCACGGGTACAGGTATGTAGGTCTAGGTATGTTTGGGTCTTTTCCTGTGTAAGATTAAGAGCATCTTGGCAAGGTCCCACTCGCCATCCTTAGGCTGGTGCTTTCAGCTTTGTGCCAGTGCAAGCAGTGTGTGATCGGCGCTGCCGTCTCTCTATAAATACTGGTGGGGTGGGGGCTGGTGTGCTGGGCTGGTTGGCTGCGCTGCTGCCTCTTGATTGGTTGCTAGAGTTGATGTTGGTATAATGGGCTGTGTGATAGCCTTGTGAGTTTTGTTGTGGAGATATCCTGGATTTTGTGCTGTAATCTCCTGGGTCGTTTGTTTTGTAGTGATCTTTTTTCCATTAGCCTCTGGTGTTTTAACGGCTTGGATAATGGGTTGTGTGATGGGCTTGAAAGTTCTTTCGTTGTGGTGTCCTGGGTCCTGCATTGTAATCTCCTGGGTCATTTGTGTTTTGATCTCTTTTCCATTAGCCTCCTGTGTAGTAACAGCTTGGGTAATGGGTTGTGCGATGACCTTGTGAGACTTATTGCTGTGATATCCTTGGTCTTGTTCTGTGATATCCTGGGTCATTTGCTGTGTTGCAACTTCTTGAGTTCTTGTGGTGTAATTTCCTGAGTTTTCTGATGTGATATCCTTAGCAGGTGGCTGCGATGTAGCATTCTGGGTTTTAGTCTGGCTTCGAGTTTGGGGTCTGGGTCTGTGTTCTTGGCATGTGTCAGCTTGCTTGGTTTTGGGGTCGGGGGGTGCGCCAGCTGACGAGGCAGCCGTGGTCTGTTTTCTGGATGGTGGTTGTCCTTCGTTTATAGGATGGGCTTGGGCCTGGGTCTGATGAGGGGGATTGGCGGTGGTGTCCCGTGTTGTTTCGGGTCTGGTGTTGGTTTTCGTGGCTGGGACTCATTTGTTGGTGAGGGCTAGCTTCCAGATGTCTGGTAGGCGGGAGGTATCGTCCCGTCTATTCATGTTATGGGGGTGTTTCTCTATCTCAGTGGCTTCCCTGATTATTCTCTTGCTGGAGTGCTCAGTGTTGGATATTAATTTGGTTCCTTCGAAATTAAACATCTTCAGTGTACATCATAACTATAAAAATAAAACACAAAAACACCTTCGCATTCTATACAATTGAATTGAAACCTCCTGATATTGCATTCATGTTGCACTATACAGTAGAATTCAATATAGTTACTGTTCTGGAATAGAAGCTGTTTTTCAGCCTATTTGTCCTTGTTTTTATTGTCCTGAACCGTCTGCCAGATGGTAATCGTTCAAAAAAAAAGGGTGCCCAGAATGAGATGGATCGTTAAGAATGTTTTGAACTTTCTTAAGTTTTCTTTCTTATTTCACAGTACTGTTAATATTCATGTAGTTCATGATATTCTAATGAAGTGAATGTAGCTTGCAATATAAAGCTTGTTAGTGGGAAATGATCCTGATAGACCTTTTCTGATTTTTGACCAGCATAAACTAAAACTGCACACCTACAGTGTCTACAATAAACAGAAACATAGATCTGAAAGAGATGCTTAGATCTTCCTGATATATTAATTTGCTGTGTGCAAGAGCCAGGGTGGGCAGCTACAACCCCTTTATGACTTGTGAACTTCAACTCCCAGAATTCCCAAACCAGAATGATAGAATTGGAAGGGACCTTGGAGGTCTTCTAGTCCAACTTTTGCTTGAGCAGGAGATCCTATGTCAGAGGTCTCCAAACTTGGCAACTTTAAGACTTGTGGACTTCATCTCCCAGAATTTCCCAGCCAGCTAGGAAATTCTGCGAGTTGAAGTCCACAAATTGCCAAGTTTGGAGACTCTTGATGTTGACCAACCTTCTCCAGGATGCTCTGCCCTAAACCTGGACTTCTGGGAGTTGAAGTCCACAAGTCTTAAAGTTGCCAAGTTTGGAGACTCCTGACGTCGACCAACCTTCTCCAGGATGCTCTGGCCCAAACCTGGATTTCTGGGAGTTGAAGTCCACAAGTCTTAAAGTTGCCAAGTTTGGGGACTCCTGTCCTATATCATATCTGACAAAGGGCTGTCCAGTCTCTTCTTAGAAACCACCAGTGATGGAGCCCTCACACCTTCAGGCAAGCCTGATTAATTGTTCTCACTGCCAGAAAATTTCTCTTTATTTCTAGGTTGGTTCTCTCCTGGATTAGTTTCCCTTCATTGCTTCTTCAGGTGCTTTGAAAGAATAGGTTGGCCCCCTCTGCTCTGGGGCAGCCCCTCGGATATGGGTACTCTGGGAGTAGAAGTCCACAGGTTGTAAGCGGGCCACAGTTGCTCATCTCTGCATAAGAGGATAGCTTGATTTTCACATGTGAGTCCCATCTGAGGGGACACATCTCAGAAACTGAGCTCACATTCATGGTGGTACTTCAAGAGTGAAGAATTCTTGATTGCACAAGGTATAGAATTTAAACCAGAATTATTTCTATTACGAATCATAACAGAGGCTTATAGTAAAGGGTTAATATATCTAATATTACACATTCTGACGGAAGTGAGAATGGTATACGCCCAGCAATGGAAAAGTGAAAACACCCTTTAGAAAGGGAGATAATAAAGAAAATATTAGTTTGTGCAGAATTGGGTAGATTAATGTCAGAATTAAAATACAAAGGGGAGACAGAATATCTATGACACATGGAACAGAGACTACCAATGGCTGGAATTAACTGGAAATAACTAGTAGACCCGGAATGAGATATTATATATATGTACTAGAATGTCTACGTTGGTCAAAAAGACTAGCAATGTATACGTAGTCTATACGTTGTCTTTCACTTTAGTATGTATGGTGGAGGAAATGCTGGGATGGCCATACTATGTTCAATATATCTATATGTAAATAATAAAAATATAATAATTTTAAAAAGAGTGAAGTAACAGATAGAAGGGAGGTATGATTAGGTCAAAGGAAAGGAGAGATGAACTGTGAATTAGGGCAGTTAGAATGGTTGCAGTGTTCTTTCAGCTGGGGACGGATTAAACAGCATTGAAAACGATAGGAAAAGAAGAAAGAGAAGGTGACATTGGACAATCTTCTGAGGAAGGATTCCATAAGTGGACTTTTAAGTCCAGCATTCCTTCCAAACAGACGAGCAAAATTCAACCACGAACCTAGCGACGAGAAGTGGACACCTTAGTCTTCCAGGTAAAAACAACGTGCGAGCCAAGAAGTCTCTTCGTGTTGTGGCTTGCAGGCTACTCACCTCTTGGCTCTCTTCTTGCTGTGTCTACCCATTTGTTTGCATGCACACAAAGCCCGTCATGACTCAGGCTGCCTGTCTGGCAGCGAGGCTCCCCTGTCTTGTTGTCAAACAGAGTTCAACCTCCTTTGACAGAAAACGCTGAGATTTCATGCTCCCGGAGAAGTTAAGAGGCTGCAGCTCACAAGACGCACAAACGCGACGACTCCACCTTTGCTGGGGCAGCAACTCAATTTGTAATTGAAACAAGGGCGCAGTGCACTTTGCTGGCCTACCAGTGAGTTGGAGAAGCAGAGCAAGGGGATTCTTGCCCCCCCGTGGTTGACTGGCCAGCCATGAGAAGAATAAAAACTTGCGTTCTCGATGGGCAAAAGAATAAGGAAGGAACCAAAAAACGGAATGGAGGTGTAAGGAATAGGATGTGAGCTCTTGCAGGTGTTCTAAGCCTTTATGTTACTAGCTCGATATCGGTGCTTTGCTACGAAACTATGAAGCTCTCTAACTTAGATTTACATCTTTCCTGCAAAAGACAGATCCCTCAAGGCTGTTAATAGCCTTGAGGAGGCTATTCACAGTATACTTCAAAGGTGTGGATTCCTCTGAACGGAGGTAGTTAGGTCAGGAGGCTCCATACTTGGCAAGTTTAAGACTTGAGGACTTCAACTCTCAGAAGTCCAGGTTTGGGGTAGACCATTCTGGAGAAAGTTGATCCACATCAGGAGTCTCCATATTTGGCAGCTTTAAGACTTGTGGACGTCAACTCCCAGAATTTCCTATCCAGCTGACTGGGAAATTCTGGAAGTTGAAGTCCACAAGCCTTAAAGTTGCCAAGTTTGGAAATCCCCCCCGTCTTTATGTGATTAATAAAAATTGATGTTGACTTGACGGCGCCTAATCAACTCATAATCTGCACCCAAGATGCCAAGCATCCTTAGCACTGTCCACAAACAACACCCACACAACACTTTCCACTTCTTTTGAGGCCGTACAGTGGAGCAACTTGCCTCCAGAAGTTGTAAGTGCTCCAACACTGGAGGTTTTGGAAGAAGAGTTTGGACAACCACTTGTCTGAAATGGTATAGGAGGCCTGAGCAGAGGGGTTGGACTAGAAGACCTCCAAGGTCCCTTCCAACTCTGTTACTCTGTTTCCTCCATACTGTGTTTGGAGATGGGAAGGATCCCCTCACTTTCCTCTTGCTTTGTAGAAAAAAAAGCAGCTGTGAAGTGGAATGGGACACTTAATGAGAAGAAGGAATAATTTTGAGGAGCAGGAGGAAGAGTCGCATCCGAGACAACGATCAGATAAAAGAAACCTGAATCCAGGACAGAAATGTAATTTGAGAAAGCATCTCCGACGGGATCTTCCCTAGTTCTCTTGGACATAAGGCGGAGACTCATTCAGGTTTGCAAGATTCTGTTACTGTCACCTTATAATAAAAGTAGCATTTGTTTGTGTGTCTTTGCTCTCCAAGTTCTGGTCTGCCTTGCAGGGCTGACAGGCACTGACTGGTAGCTACTTGGGGAAGGCTCTTGCTTGTAAACTGTAGGGAGCAACGCCACCATGGTAGGCCGAAACTAGTGGGAAAGACTGGAGAAGTGATGCCACTCTGTGTGGAAGACCCTATTATTGTCTTCTAAAGACACAACAAAAAATGTGTCCTCACCACTACTTGCCACTCACATGAAACCACAGACACCCCCCTGCCCGTCCAAACTCATATGGTACACAGATGTTGACCGAGAGCAAAGCGTGTGGTTTGTGGTTTTGCTACTTAGGGAAAGAGCTCAGGGTAGCTGGAGGGATGAGACAGCCAACCTGGAGCCAGTTGCAAGGGATTCCCCTTCCTCAAGTCTTCTTTGGAAGAAACTCGGAAGTCATGCGCCCCCTAGTATCCTACTTTCTTTCTAAAGGCCCATTACTCTACCCCAAATGGGAGAGAGCTGCACCCCAAGAAGAGGGCAGAGGTCTCTAACCCTAACCTTGCCAACTTCAAGCCCGGCAGACTTCAACTCCCAGAATTCACGGTGCTTTTACGGCCCTCTCTAAGCGGTTTACAGAGTCAGCCTTTTGCCCCGCCCCCACCCAACCATCTGGGTCAGGGGTCTTCAAACTTGACAGCTTTAAGACTTGCAGACTTGAATTCCCAGAATGCTGGCTGGCTGGGGAATTCTGGGAACTGAAGTCCACAAGTCTTAAAAAGTTTAGAGACCTGCCTGCCTCCGCCAAGCCAAACCCCCAAGAACCGGTGGTAGTAAACAGTTTTGAATCCCACCCCTGGTCTCGCTCCTTAGAAGGGCCTGCCACCAAGTCAGGCCTCCCGGTCCTCGGGGCACGGGGTGGCCAATGGGGCGAGCGCTTGTCTCTCTTTAAAACAAAACAACAAAACAGATGGATGGATGGGACGTTCCAGTTTTCTGCCCGCTTGAGATTTTCGAGCCTAAAAAGGAAACAGTGCGGCAACCAAGCCAGTTTCACCCCCCCCAAGGGAGAAAGATGACGGGGGGGGCGGGGAGGAGGAGAGAGAGAGAAGCGGGTAGAGATCAACAAAGGCCACTCTGAAAGACAAGCTCTGTTGCTCCAAGCACGCCTGACCTTCTGGGGGAAAGAGGATGTGGGTTCCTCCTGAAAGCCCACCATTCACAGGGCGCTGACACCCCACCCCAGAGAGTCCCAGTCTCTTGAACCGGCCTCTTTGTCTCCCAGCAAAGTGGCCTGGGAGCCGGAGCGGAGTGGAGTGACGTGGGGTGCCGGGTCCGGATTCTAGGGAAAGAAACACGCCCCTCGGAGAGGCGAGAAAGGGATGAGCCGTACGCTGCCCATCCCTTGGGAGCCTGGGAAACGTCACTGATTCTCCCTGGCCTCCGCTGGCGGAGGGAGTCTTGTTTCCAGCTCAACCCACCACCCCCCTCTCCCCAAAAAGCAAAGAGTGGGTTAGTGTCATTACAAAGCCCTACCCCGCCGTTTACATAGCTGCAAGCGTGAAGAGTTTAAACAGTTGGAGATGAAGTGGACTCTCGATGGGCTTTTGATGGCGCCTTCGTCTTCTGCACAGGCTGGGAGCCAGCCGTGATTAGACCGCTTCTTTTTTTCAGAACAGCCCCAGGAAGGGAGTGGGAATCCATGCGCAAGGGAACCCCAACCCTCCCCCAACCCTAAGCCCCCCCCCCTTGGCACCCTCGACTTCCGTGCAACCCAATCAGTAGCCAGTGCTGGAAAGAAAACGAAGGAAAGGAAAAAGGAAAGGAAAAAGGAAAGGAACGGAAAGGGAAGGGAAGGGAAGGGAAGGGAAGGGAAGGGAAGGAAAGGAAAGGAAAGGAAAAGGAAAAGGAAAAGGAAGGAGGAAAGGAATGGAAAGGGAAGGGAAGGGAAGGAAGAAGGGAGGGAAGGCGAAGGGAAGGGAAGGGAAGGGAAGGGAAGGAAGGGAAGGGAAGGGAAGGGAAGGAAAGGAAAAGGAAAAGGAAGGAGGAAAGGAATGGAAAGGGAAGGGAAGGGAAGGAAGAAGGGAGGGAAGGCGAAGGGAAGGGAAGGGAAGGGAAGGGAAGGGAAGGGAAGGGAAAGGAAAGGAAAGGAAAGGAAAGGAAAGGAAAGGAAAGGAAAGGAAGAACTCTATGGTTCGAAGAATTTGCTTGCAATTCAGGAACCTCTAGGCTCAATCTCATTGAGCAGTGGGGTTCCCTTCCCTTCCCTACGATGGCCACCTTCCATTTTACAGCAATAATTCCAATGCTAGTTTAAATTATTGTGCTTCTAGGATCAGATACCATCTGTAATACTGTCTTCCTTCCTCCCCCTTTCTTTCTTTCTTTTTCTTTTTGGTCATCCATCCATCCAATCCCCCCTTTTGCTGCCTCCTTCCTTTCCTTCTGTCTGTTCACTTCTTCCTTCCTTTCATTTCCTCCCTTCCTCCCCCCTTCCCATCCATTCATTTAGCCAATCCTCTCTCCATCTTTCTCCCTTCTTCCTCTCCTTCTGTCTGTTCACCGCTGCTTCTGCTTCTTCTTCTTCCTCTTCCTCTTCTTCTTCTTCTTCCTCCTCCTCCTCCTCCTCCTCCTCCTTCTTCTTCCTCCTCCTCCCACTTCTTCTCATCCATCCATCCATCAATTTCCTTTCCCCGCTATTTCCTGTCCTTCTGCCTGTTCATTTCTTCCTTTCTTTT